GAATCGACCCTGAACCCTGAGCCCTGAACCCTGAACCCTGAACCCTGAACCCTAAACCCTAAACCGTAAACCTTAAACCTCCCTTGCTCTCCTCATGTTTGCGGGCTGTGTCAATTGTAGCTCATAGGTAGGGAGCTTTGGACGTATCATCGCCTGATGGTTAGTGGTATTTAGGGTTTGGGGTTTACGGTTTAGGGTTTAGGGTTCAGTGGCTTAAGGTTGAGGGTAATAATCCGAGAAGTAATTTCTTCTCAAATCACCAGAAGCAATCTGTATATACTCCTTTCCCCCATTCCCTACCAAGATCTACCAATCACCTGGTGGCCAAGTCCTTGGGTCCTAGAACCCTTACACTCGAAACTCTAAACCCGACGCTTCTGGATCCTAAACCTTAAATTCAGGAGCTTAAGCACGAGACCCTAATACTGATCCAACAAAACATCACACATCGGGTTTACCCTCAGCGTTTCTTGCCATAAATTGTTCGCATGGGCCCAGAACCTCTTGGCCTACCCACTGGAACACCTGAGGGGATGTACCTTTCAGGATTCAGGGGCGGATGGTCAAGGGTCTGGGATTTTGGGCTAAGGCTGTATGCCGGAGCCCAATGAGAAGATAGGATTCACAAAAGGCAAAGGGTAAAACAATAAAACTGCTTCTACCCGCGAATCTCTTAAGGTACACGTGGTACAGGATGCAATTCCATGTCTCAGCAGGTATGGTGATTGAGCTTCGCGGTGTCGGGCTTTCCCGCTTCTGAGGGGTTTAGGGATTTTGGTGGCTTGCAGGCTTCTATCCAAAGAGACCTGACACATCACACCCCTCACCCGTAAATCCTGCACCCTCAGCGCGACATGCTGAACTTTTCTGAGGTTGGCCTTGGTTGGGTCTGGTGCTATCTATGGGCGCCTTGGCAACCCTAAACCGGGTGGTTGTTCTGCAGGGTTTAGAGTGGTTCTACAACATGAGCGGAAGTCTTGGAGAACTTTCAGGGAAGTCGCTAAACCTTAAGCCCTAAACTCTGCCAAGCCTTGTATGAACTTGAGCTCCCTGAGTTTAGAGTTTCCAGTTTAAGATTCAAAAATTGACTCGGCGAAATACCACGCCGTGAGAGCCCTTGCACAAATCATACGCACCCCTGTGGTAGGTCCCACAAGCTGCAGCGAACACTTGCAGCACTGAAACTCTCAAATCACTCCTTCCTCCACAGGAATGGTCAGGACCAAGTTCAGACGCTTACATAAATGCTAAAATGAAGCACCTGGCCTGCCCCAATCCCAGAACCTTGAACATCAACCCCAAACCTTAAACCCCAAAACCTGAACACCAAAACCCAGACCTTAAACCCTAAACCTTAAACCCCAAAACCTGACCCAAAATTCCAAACCAAAACCCCCTGAATCCAAAACCCGAGTCCTTTCATCAACCACCCTTATACTAATATACCCAAAGCCATATTCTATTTACTTAAGGGGGACTATAACCTGAACCCTAAATCATATTCTATCTACTTAAGGGGACTATATATCAACCACCCAAGCCATGAAGTGCGGCACCTGTGCGGCGACTGGACTTGTTTTGGTGGCCATCCTGGCCTACCAAGGCTGGGCCTTCTTCAGGGTTTAGGGTTTAGGATTTAGGGTTTAGGGTTTAGGGGTTTAGGGTTTAGGGGTTTAGGATTTAGGGTTTAGGGGTTTAGGATTTAGGGTTTAGAGGTTTTGGCTTAGGGTTTAGGGTTTAGACACATTGGGATTTCTTTAAAATTTCTGGTATATTTAGGGTTTAGGGTCTGGGGATTTTCAGTGTATAGTGGAGAACCAAATGGAAAAGAACATGAAAACCGGGATGATCTAGGGGTTTTCTTGGCGGGGCCCTAAAGCCCAAGCCCAAAACCCAAAACCCTACACCTTAAACCCGAAGCTCTGCTCCCTAATGAGTTCAGGGTTCAGGGGTTTTCGTTTTGAGTTGCAAGGTTTGGTGTAAAGGATTTATGGTCTAGGAAGGTCTTCTTGGAGCACCTTGAGCTTTTTGTTGGGTTCTCTTCCCTACTTCAGCCCGACGATGAGTTTCTAAACCTCAAGAAGATTGGACAAGGGTTTTAGCTTGGGTACTGCCCCCCCCCTCAGTAACTGTCTATATTAGGGGTCCTATTAAGGGCTATATATAGCCATATGATAAATATTATCCAACTGTTACTGAGCGGGGGCAGTACCCAAGTTTTAGGAGACGGCGCCTGTAAGAGGCCCTGCGGTTACGCACATTTTGATGATTTCTGGTACGAGAGCACTCGTGCGCTCCGTGGCAAAACCATGACAAATCCATGCCAAAACAATACTTGCGCTCGTGTTCCAAGAGCATGCGCTCACTAGAGCATCCATGCCAAAACCATAATTGCGCTCGTGTTCCAAGAGCATACGCTCACTAGAGCATCCATGCCGAAACCATAATTGCGCCTGTGTTCCAAGAGCATACGCTCACTAGAGCATCCATGCTAAAACCATAATACCGTTCGTGTTCCAAGAGCATACGCTTACATGTCATTAGAGCATCCAAGCCAAAACCATAATTGCGCTCGTGTTCCAAGAGCATACGCTCACTAGAGCATCCATGCCAAAACCATAATCGTGCTCGTGTTCCAAGAGCATACGGTCACTAGAGCATCCATGCTAAAACCATAATACCGTTCGTGTTCCAAGAGCATACGCTTACTAGAGCATCTATGCCATAATTGCCCTTGTGTTCCAAGAGCATACGCTTACATGTCATTAGAGCATCCAAGCCAAAACCATAATTGCGCTCGTGTTCCATGAGCATACGCTTACTAGAGCAGACTCTCTGGCGGAAGTCAGTCGGAGTGTCGCGCCTCTTGGCAAAGCTCGGGGAGCTTGCAAGAGACTCCTAGAAAAAGCGCGAACGCAAAGCGTGTGAAGTACTCCAAAATTGAGGTTTTCCCATAGCGCCAGCACGATTCCTGCCATCAAGCTGCTGGAAATTCTTTTGAAAGCGGGACCCCCATACAGAAATCCTCTTCAAAATCGCATTAAACGCACTATAAAATGCCAAAAAAAAGAGTTCTGGAATACAGCTCTTAGCACTTTCAGCACGTCCCTTAAGCTTGCAATACCCGAAAATAAGCAAATTCCCCCAGTTTTGCACGTTCAAACCGCTCAAGCTTTGAAGCAAATGTTGCTTACTCGCACGGCCCCTTAGGGGCGCCGTAACCAAGTGTTAGCCGGTAGGGTTGAGGGTTTGAAGTTTTCAGGGCCTCAGGCCCCAGAGCCCTAAACAGGAAAGCTTCCAGCATGTTCTGTAATGGGCTACCACTTCATTCTTTGGGGTTCAGGGCTAAGGATGGTTTAGGGTTTAGGGATTTCCCGAAGAGAGTACTGGCAGTGATTGTGATAAGGGTTGCTTACGGAGTGCAACTTTCAATTGCAGACCTTGTTTATGAAATGTTTCGAGTTCCCAAGTAACCTTTACCCTAAACCCCTGAACCACTCAAACGCAACCCCTATTACACCTGAACACCCTAAACCTCTTAAACCCCTGAGTTTTAAATTCTTAAACCTGTGGAAGGCAAGCAAACCTGCCAGCTCATGGGTTACACCAAGGTGGGAGGCCCTAAATAAGGGTTTAGGGTTTAGGGTTTAGGGCGTTTAGGGGTCTCCATTTTCTTTCCCGTTATTCCTGTATAGCACCAAACCACTCTTGGGGGGCAAGACCACATACTGGGACTGAATTTTTGATTGTAAGGAAGTTCAGGAAGTCCCGTCAAGTTACCCTTGTTTGTTGGGATCTCCTTTGAGCTTTCCAAAGGTTAGGGATCTTTTTTTGGGCCCTTATACAATAATCTTGAAAGCCCAAATTGAGACGATCAACCCTAAACCCTTAACCACCCTCTGCGAAACTGAGGGGCTAGCTGGATAATACTCACAATATGGTTATATATAGGCCTGTATATGATCCATCTTACAGACCTTTAATGGGTCGGGGCAGTACCCAATGGATAGGTTGTGCATTAGTATGGTGCGTGTCCATGCATCTCAGAACTGCAGCCGTCATCACAGTCCGGCAGGTTCCAAAAACCAGGGGTCCTACTGTTGACGCTAGAAATCCTGCATGACCTTATTCTGCTATAGTACCATAGTGCCCAAGGTTTAGGGTACTTAGGGTCATGCATGATTTTTAGTATCCACCGTATTCTGGGAGTCCCTCTAACACAAAGAGTACGGTAGTTTAAGGGCCTCTCAGCCTAGACCCTGAATCCCTCAACCTGAAGGTTAAATAGCCTTCAACCCTATACGAAGGGTCTAAACCTTAAACCCCAAAAAACTTCTAAACCTTAAACCCTAACCTTAAACCCTAAACCCTGAACCCTAACTTTAAACTCTAAACCCTAAACCCCTAAACCCTAAACCCCTAAACCCTAAACCCCTAACCCCTAAACTCTAACCCTAAACCCTAACCTTTAACCCTAAACCCTCAAGTCTCAGGTGGCATCCTTGCAGTTTGCGCCTGGGCATGGCAGTTTCGAGGGCAAAGAGCCGGCGCAGTGCCGCAAGGTGGGAAGTTTAGGGCTTGATATTAGGAAATACAGTAGTATAATACAGGGGTTATATAGGGAGAATGGAAAATGCAATGGAAACAACTAATTAGGGTTTAGGGTTTAGGGTTTCGCAGAAGCAGTGATGTGCAGACCACAAAGTGCATTGTTACACATGAAATCTTCCGTGGGATGCTTGCGGAAGGCTTTTCTTGTGTTGTCGTACACTCTACGCGTGTTCCCTGTATGGTCAGGGACATAAACTCATCTAGATCCATCTTGGTCAACATTATTCCGGTCAGAACCACATCCTTGAACCGAAAGTACTTGGTGTTTACACCACGTACTGCGGACGATCAAAAAGCCCAGCCACCTGCGACTGGTTGAATTGGCGCGTCATTCCCATCACTGCCATTGCCGTGTTGATCATCGTCGTAAACTAGCAACAGTGGCTGGCGGCGGCACCAGCAGCAGCTGCAGCAGCCGCAGCAGCCGCTGCAGCCGCAGCCGCCGCAGCAGCTGCAGCAGTCGCCCTCGCCGCAGCCGCAGACGCAGCCACGGGCGCGGCTGCTGCAGCAGCAGCCGCTGCAGCGGTGGCAGCAGCAGTAGTGGTGCCACCCGTAGCGGCGGCAGGAGGAGTAGCAGTGCACTAGCAGCGCAGCAGTAGCAGTAGCACCAGCGTCGCAGTAGCGCTAGCAGTAGCACTATCGGTTAAAGTAGGCATAGCCGCGGCAATGGTAAGTGCAAAAATAGAAGTACGACTGCTAGTTATAATGGCTCTTACAAAGAGGAACGGTAGCAGTGGCACCAGTGCTTAACGTCACGGTGCAGGTGGCCTTGCCCGCACCTGTGGAGGATCCTGGGTTGCCAATAGAGATTTTTTGCTGGAGTTATCAGAACAGACGGCCTGTGTATGCTACTACTTGCTTATCCGGAAAGCTATCATGCAACCTCACAAGATCTTTTTAGACGGACGGTAGGCTTTAGGGCACTCTGAATGTGCATGACTTACCAGTGATATATGCTTTCGTTCTAGTGATTATAGTCATTCCCCAGCCCTTGGATGTTTGAGTAAATTGAGGGAAGGTAACAACAGCATCCGAGGACTTGAGCATTTTTGACCATGACCGAAGTTGGCTGTTGGGCGCCACAGGGCACGTTTGGGAGAGCACGCTGCCTCTAGATCAGTGTCAAGAACTATCTTAGCCTTGTAGGCATTGTAGACATTATGACAAAATTGTGTTAGCATAGAGAATGAGAATTGCTGCTTTTTTGTTTGTTTGATATTTCGCGTTGCCAGTAACAAAACAATTAACAGTCAAGCTTCATACGGCAATCACTATCCAGGCTTGGTGTTCGAGGTAGTTGGGCCAACAGGAGCCACCGCAACAGCCTCATTCTGGTGGATTCTGAGGAACGGGAAGTGGCATTCCTGCGGGTTGTTAAGCAGCTCTCGCCGCCACTTCCTTACAGCACGGACGACCATGTGTTCCATGGAGTCTTCTATAGCAACAGCTCTCGGCGGCTCTACGCCGTTACCCACCACACGGCTTACAGTTCTGTGGAGGTTTTCCAGGTTCACGAAGACGATCCTGAAAAAGGCTTTCACGATTCCTTGTTCCTGGAACACCTGCACACGGTCAGGTGGGAGTTGGGAGTGATTTAAGGCTGTCCTGTGACATAAAAGATCATATTGCCAGTGGTGAACAATGTTTTAGAGACTTAGACAGGTCTCCGGAGTTCCAGCGTATGGCCTTGAACGATGTCGTGGAAGCCGCTTTTGATGGCAGTAGCTTCTTTGTGTCGGAGTGGCTGGACCACGACAACGCTGCCGGCCACCGGGCCTTCTCCTTCACAGAAAACTTGGCACACAGCGCCAAAATAGCTTTGAAACAGCGGAAGACGCGATTGCTGAAGTGCGTCTTGCAAGGCTCGAGGGACGATGGGAGCCAGTGGTCCTGCTCTGAGGCGACCGCGGACCGCTTTGTTTTGACGAACGGCCTGGCCATCACGCCAGATCGACGCTTCCTCTTCGTTTCTGACCCAGCGAGCACTGAGGTTGTCATCTACCGCGTGGATGGTGCAAGTAGTTTGGAAGCCTTATGGAACAATTTTTGAGCGTGTGATTGATAATCCACTGCATGGCTAATGTTCCCGATTCAAACCTTTTTTTGTGCATCCCAAAGAACATATGCTGTATGATGATTGGGTTTGTACTTGCGACAATTTCGCACATGGTTCCCTGCTATTGTGAAGTTTCGATCTCAGCAGATCCAAAGATGTTTAATCATGAAACGCGGCCGGGGTGTAGGGCTAAAGGCTTTTGAATTCGGGGTTGAGGGTCGTATGCTACTTGAACTTCAAAAACTAAGCTAAACACCTCTGGAATGTTTGATGGCAGGAACAGCTTGTTTCAAGGCAAGGCAGTGCCAGCCTGATCCCTAAATACTTCCTTCGCAAGCCCACCTCATCTTGAGTTACATAAATCATCATCCCCCCCATCAATTTCCATCATTGCTTACCTCATATTCGAACCTCCCGCGTACCAAGGCCTGACCAAGGTCCAGGCCCTCTCTCTCACACATTCCGTGGACAATCTGGAGGTGAACGATTTTTGATTCAGCACGGATCATTTTATGTCTATACACGTCGGTTTTTGGACTTGAAAGCTTTAATCGCGGTAGTACTCGCACTGTTGTTAGTAGTGAAGTAGAAGAAGTAGTAATAAGAATAGTAGTAGTAGTAGTAGTAGTAGCAATAATAATAGTGCACTAGCAATGCTGCTGCTGCTATTATTATTATTATTTCTACTACTACTACTACTACTACCACTACTACTACTACTACTACTACGACTACTACTACTACTACTACTACTACTAGTAGGCATACATTTGGTATTTGACGACTCTCTGTTGTGTGCCCTTTTGACTGAGTGTGACAGCGGCCATGCACATTTTCACCGCTATTTACAGCATTTCCTGTTTACAGAATCTGCTAATTACTTGTTTACCCTCTTGCAGTTGCCAGTCAGGATTTTTCGTCTTTTTTTGCATTGTTGCGGTCGAAGCAGCCAAAAGTACTGGTATTTGCAGTACATTTGGCTGTTGGTGCGTTTTCTGAAAGTCTTTTTTTCATATTTTAAGAGCTTTGTTTTTGTGCCCCTGGACGAATTCACTGGTATTTCCGGGGTTTCGTAGCTTTTGCCAGCTTGAGCTATGTTGGCCAAAAACACGCTTTTGGATTTTACAGATTTTCACAGGTTTTGATAGCCTTCTGTTTGGGCAGGGGGATAATTACGCTCACAAGGACTTGAGGCATGGGAAGTTAGAACGGATTGTTGAACAAAGGCGTTGTCTGATTAAATGCTATGTTGTCACATGCTGGGTTTTGCAGTGTTTTTGGCTTCCCTGCCATATGTCAGTGTGCATGAAATGCATGTTGTGAACAAAAACGCAGAGCCCGACTTGGTGACATGATAGGAAGTCACCAACGGTTGTCAACGATCATGCAGTGCGGGGTCAATGTTTGGAGTTTCCCAAAATTAGGGGTATCATCTTGGAGTCATCTTGGGGACATTTTTGATATGGACTGTAGTACTATAGTATGTTGGGGTCTACATTATTGGGTTCCAAGTTCCACCTATTTTGGGAAACTAGAATTTCCAGGTAGCTAAGGCATGTTTTGTGTCTCGCAACTGCTGGTTGCTTTCCGGGTGCTATTCATCTCTATCGAATTGCTCCGGGATATATCGGGATAATGGAAAAGAAAATGGGAAACAAATTGGAAACTATTGCTTCAGGGTTTGGGACTTGACGTTTAGAGTTTAAGGGTGGAGTACCTGGAAATTGCCAACAATGGGGCGACGCTTTTGCGAGTCTGTATAGCAAAGCTTACAGATTGCCAGACAAATAGCATTTCGCCTATACTAAACAGTTCTGGTTTCAAAAGCGCGTTTTTCGCAAAATTGCTCTGTTGCAAAAATGCAGTGTTTTACAGTACTTTCTGCTTCGCTGCCGTGTGAAACGGTGTCTGACATGCATGCTGCAAAAAAAACGCAGTGCCCGAAACACTGCGCGGGAGAGTGATTTTGTGTCTTCCCATCATGATTTTGCGACAAAGCCCGAAAAAATCCTGACTCTGAACTTTGCACCTTCTTCAAGTTAGCCCCCTTCCGAAGTACTGCGTTTTGCAGTGTTTTCTTACTTCTCGAGTTACAGGACAGCCAGAATAACGGGTCGTCAAGTACATAAAGCGCGCGTACTACTACTGGTAGTGCCTAGTGCTATTCCTACAGCTGAGAGATACGCACCAGGCGCCTCTGCAGACTGAAGGTAGGTAATTCTTAGAAATTCTTTGAGAAGCGTTTATATATCCCTCCTTTTGAGTCACGTGGAAGCTCAAATTGGGCCCTATGAAGACTGATGGGCCTGTGAAAGGGGTTGACATAGACTTCCATTTGGGTTTGGGTGAGTGTAGAAGGTTGTGGCGAGCTGGCCGACCAAAGATGAGGTGGTGCTCCATGGAGGATCCATCCCTTTACCCTTCGCCACAGGAGTAGGCTGTGGGCAGTCCTTTCCAGGAACTTACTTAGTGTTTTCAGCCTACATATTATTCGTGCGTGCAAGACCCTGGTTCTTCCTCTAATAGACCTTTTGTTTCTACAAGCGTCGCTCTTCCTGCTGCAGCGCCTCCTCCTTAGTGTGCAGTGGTAACCCTCAGCCCTTCAAATCCCTGTGCGTCCGTAGAGTATCTTATATCAGCCTCTGACACGAAGCTCTGGAGGCAACGATACCTAAACCCTAAGGGCACCCTAAAGTGAGACCTCTTTCAACCATGATGGCAGTGAGAAATGGTGGCAGGCTGCGAAGGTGGGTTTGGCATGAACTGGCCTATCAAGGACTGGTGGGTATGGACCGGGTGAAATGAAGCCGCATTCAGTGGAATAGGGCTTGCACCCTTAATCACCAAACCCCGAAAATGATAAACCCTTTCCCTTAGACTTGTAATGCAAAGTCAATACCCCGGCACACCCTAAACGCTGAATCCTGAAACCTTTTGTGAAATTTGATCTCAGCGCGTGGAAATTTCAAACCTGTGTGAGCATCAATAAACGACCATTTCCAAAGCTTAAGGGTTTCTCGTCAGGTGTCCCTATAATATGGATTTTGGTAACTTGGGGCCTTTGTTTTTGGGTTCTGGATTAATGGCAAGTCCCATATGACCCATTGGGCCCAGGGTCCAGATATTTGTACACAATCATAGTATACTTCAGCTTTACCCTGCAATAGTGGTATAATTGGAAAAGAGGAGGACCGGAATAATCTTAATAGAATTGCCATTGTTTTTTTTCGTCACTATTACAGGGTGGGGGCTAAAGTCTTCTACACCCGGACAATACCTCAGAAGTTTACTCACGGAGGCGGCTGCGTCAGTTTGAAGTGAGTTGTATGTTGTTTGGGGACCCAATATAGAAGAAGACTCTATATTCCTTTTGGGTGTAGTGATTTATATACAGAATGTAAGGCTACTAGGTTCAACCACCCAAAAAACCCTACTCAGGCGACTGTTCGCCCAAGCTTGCCAAGAGTCTTATGGGTACTTTATTTTGTGTGTAAGGGTCGGAAAAGCAACAGCCCATGTCTCATAGCAGGTGTGCCCCTAAACCCTTTCCTGGGAAACTAAGCCATCATCTCCTTCTCTGAATCCTAAAAGTTCACAGACCTCAACCCAGAAACCTAAGCCCTAAATTAAACACTTCCGCTGTTATACCCCGGTATTTGGAGTATTGTGGCCAAACTATGGTAAACAGCATTTTTTCGTCAAATATGGGTGGGTGTAGTTTCGCAAATCAGTTGATTTCAACCCAGGTCTTTCCTCCCAGCTGACTCTCCGCTTCAGCTGCATTTTTTTAGCTCTCTCGGGGTGGTGTTGAGGGGTTCGACGCGAACGGTTGGACAGGTTGGGGATCAGTTTTGACATAACTGAGACGTTGATGCAGACACATTCTTGCATGTGTAGTGTATGGTTATATGTACATGTACAACAAGACTACGTTTCCTGTCAGCATTACTGAATAAGGCGTGTGTTATGTCGCACGGATCTTACATTATGATACAGGAACTCATGTATGGTGCTGATGGGGGATGGCAAAGTGCTCTAAACATGCTGAAAGGTAGCATTTTGTTTGCTGGAAGGGGCTTCCAAGTTTCAAACACGTTTCCTTGCTGAGAGCTTCCATGTGCACAAAAGCTTTTAAAGACCACGCCTAGGGTGGGGTTTAGGGTTTATAGGGTTCAGGGTTCAGGGCCAGGACCCTAAACTTTAAGCTTTCTGTCCAGGACACGGAGGGCCACTCGAGCTTCATCGGTTGCGGGAAATGCCCTGGGGGCCTGCTGGAGCTGAAAGTCAAGGGCCTCTATGCACAAAGCAAGCAATCAGGCACCAAGGAACTGGCTCGGCATAAGCTTTTCGTGTTTCTCCCTGACTTTGAGTGTACTGGGGTGTAGGGTTTAGGAGTTTGGTGGCTTCGGCGGGGAAACTCACATTTTCAAAGTCTTGCTTGGAGTTTTGCAATTTTGGACGTGCCAGGGGTGGAGGTCCAGATGCAGGATCTGGTGCTTCATGACGGGTCGCTGCTGAATCAGGTGGGGTCCTTCCTGGAGTTGGTACTAGGGTTCAGGGTTTAGAGTTTGGGGTTTAGGCCGGCATCAACTATGGTAAAGGTGTCATGGGCTCTTTGGGCTCTTCTTGTGGCCGTTGAAATGAGGAGTATATTTTTGGGGGCAGCACGCAGAAAACCTTAAACCCAACCCTGAATTACCAAGGTGAGCTGTGCAATCGGTTTGGACGGACGAGCCGTCATAGGGAGCCCTGAGGCGAGTGGACTCCTGTTGTGCGACTGGTGATGCCAGAAAAGAGGGCGGGGTGTAAGGTTTAGGATTTGGGGTTTAGGGTTTAGTATATTGGGGTGATACTGGGATACTGGAAAAGAAAATGGAAACTACTTCTTGGGGTCTAGGGTTTAACAGGAGCAAGGTCTAAATTCCTTCAAGGAGACTATATAGGGGATGCTACAGGGGACTAGGGTTTAGGGCCTAAAGTCCTCAAAGGAAAGGGGGGTTATATGGGGATTATATCGGGGACTACTTTAGGGGTTCTGAAGGGGGATACTAGGCGTTTAGACTCTGGCTCACATGGACACCCTTATCAAGGGGAACCTCATGTGAGGACTTGAGTGGCCCCGATGTTCAGAAACTCCCATCTCTCCCTGTGCAACATAACGTGATCTAGAAATTTGAAGTGCCTACTTGGATGATCTTTTGACTCAGTAACTGTACCGTATCCCCAATAACCCCTATTATAAGCCCCACAACCACAGTAAGCAAGTAGACCTACTAAGTCAACAGATCATCCAATTAGTCTCACTCCGACCGTTTAGGGTTTAGGGTCTTTCAGGAATGGCGGCCGGTTTCTTGGTGATAGCCTGCCTCGTTTCGTGCTTGGGTCCGGGTTGCTTTTGTTTCCGGATTGTTTACATGCGATGTTGACGTGCAGGCATCTTCTCTGACATCCCTTGCAAATCTGCAGTTGCTGTGGCCGTCCTGATTTAGGGTTTAGGGCTGGGAAGTTATATATGTATATATATATTTTTTTGTACACGAAATATGTCTTGGTATGTACATCGGTATACATGAAGTATTTTTTGTTTTTTGGGCATACATACGACTCCTTAGAAATGTTGGTGAGTGCAAGAGGAAAGTCTGGTGTCCAGCTTGGGCGACCATAGATTAGAATCTTACCATTCTTATATATACAAATATGTTTATTATTCATATACGCCTCGCTACATGGACCCTAAACCCAGAAACCCAAACCCTTGAACCTAAGCCGCGTTGTACAGGCTTAGGGGTTAAACTCCTGAACTCGAAGATCTTAAGCACGTAACCCCTGGACACGAAATCTCAAACTTTGAAACTCTGCGAAGGCCCATGGTAAGGCCGCAGATATTGCACCAGTAATATTAGGGTTCTATAATGGTTTTATTGAGATAATGCTTAGGGTTTAGGGTAATATTAGGGTTATATTGAGGTTATATTGAGATAATAGAAAAATGGAAACTACTATAGTATGTTCGGGTTATATTCGGATAATGGAAAATAAAATGGAAACTACTTTGACATTTTGAGGTTCTATTGGGATAATGGAAAAATAGAAACTACTATTTAGGGGTCCTAGGTTTCAAATGCTAAATCCTATCTTCTAGATCTCCGCAGCCTGGACGCTGCAACGCGATTATTTTGTTGCTTTTGAGGAATTTAGTTTAAGTTACCATAATGGGGGAACCGTACTAACGATTATATACACTCTTGATATTAAAGTAAAGAATAGGGCCTCTTTCTTATGGTATTCCTCAAGCCTAAGCCTTTTATTATACCCTATGTACCCTTGTTCTGGTAACCCCAAGCCCTAAGCCCTAAACCCAAAGTAACAGCAACCCAGGAATATTCAGGTTCCAGTCAGTAGACCCCACAAAGTGAGCAGCTTCCCGGGCATTGCCCTTAGTGTCATTATGGTTTAGGGTTTTGGTTTTAGGGTTTATTTAGGGTTGCAATACTCCCTTTTAACTCTCTTCCATACATCATGTGCTTTAGTTGTAAAGTCATCTTTATCGAATGCTGATGTAGGCATTGAAATTGCAAGTTGTGTTGTGACTGGATCGGGAACTCTGCGATGAGTTCTAAATCCTACAACCTGAATCAGGTCACAGTTTGGGATTATTTTCAATCTCCCTCATTGCTGTCATTGGGAATCTATTGGAGTACCATCCAGTAAAGCCTTAAACTCGGAACCGCTGGTGACCACGTAATGCGAGACATTTGAATCACGAGCCTTGAGCCTTGAATTCAAAGTTCTCAAACCTAAACCCTAAGCCTCCCTGAATCTTAAACCCTAAGCCTGGGGCCCCAACATCAAAACTGGAAGCTCCAAGACAAAAAGATCAGGGAGGGAGTGTACGCTCATTGTGCTTTCCCGGCAGACCCAGGCCCCCTAAAGGATCCAAAAATGGAACCCCTAATAATTCCCTAGTTTCCCCAATCTAGTAATGGGGGTCATTTTGGAGGGGTTCCCATTTTTGGAGCCTTTAGGGGGTCTGGAATGGTGCTCTTCTCAAAGGTTCGCTCTTCGGGCAAGCGGTCGCCCCAAGAATCAATGCAAAGGCTTCCGCAAAGGCCCGCTTGCCATTACTGAGATTATTCCTATTGTTGTTATTGCTATCAACAGTATTATGTTTGTTGCCAGTATTATTAATACCACTGTAGACCCGCACTGGGGTTCTCGGGTTGTTTTGGGGTTCTAGGGTTTCGGGGGTTTAGGTGCTAAGATTACGGTTTAGAGGCACTTGCAGGTATATGAGACTTAGTAGCTACCATGAACCTCCCAGTACCCTCTGCAAATCTTCGTGTCCTCCTGTACACCCCTGTACTTCCCTCCATTTGCATCGGGTCGCAACAGTTAGCTGGTTTCTTTGTGAGAGATATTTGAGAGCTTTCGTAACCCTGAACCCTAAACCTTACAGGCCTGGCCGCCTGGTTTTTATTTGCTCGAAGAGGGGTGGGGCAGGGTGGTGGGGCCTTCCCTGTTTAGGGTCGCTGGTCCGAGGGTTCAGGGCCTAGTTCTCTGCAAAGAAACCTAAGCCCTAAACCCTAGTTCCTGTAAGAATGCTACAGTTGGACGTATCTGCGCCTCCGCTTTGTGATTTCGGTGCCCTTCCCTCACAAGTGCTTTTGATTGGGTGTGAGGTTTTGGTAATTCAAAGGCTTTTCAGTGCATTGGCCTGCGAGGCCCGTAAAATCTTGCAAATCTAGGCTTTGCAACGGTTGGCTGTGTGCTCCTAGAGCCCCCAAGCCCTCAACCTTAACACCCTAGCCCTGTATCCTGAACCCTGAACGGGGCATCCTTGGGAGTTGCAGAGTTCTTGTGGGTAGGGTTTCTCATTGGGGCATGTGAGGGAATCATGGAAAGCAGTGTCTCATTTCAGGTCCGGAGTTTAGGGTGAAACATTCAAGCCTAAACCCGAAACCTCTCAACCTCATATCTCAGGTAGGGTTTGGGGTCGAAGATGCTTGGTAGGGAATTGTGGAATGGACTCTCTTTGTCGTCCCCTCGCATTTCATTGCTTCATTCCCAGGGCAATGCTTCAATTGGGCCAGCGAACCCCCAAAGGGCTCCCAACCCTAAAGCCTCAAAGATCTCTATGCGTTTTACATGACCCGTAGTCTAACTTCCTTGAAGGGGGGCTATATAACGGATTATATGGGGGATTATATAGGGGAGTATTACATGAGTTAGAAAGGGTCATACTAGCAGTTTAGATTATCGCTCATGACATTGGGGCATTTAAACATCGTGCAAGTTTGGGGGAGAAGTTTGGTAAAGGTAATCTTTCTTGTGTTCCAGCTTAAGACCCAGTATCTACGAAATATGGAAGGCATGGTAGTGTTGGGGGTAAAGAGTTTATGGGCTTAGGGTTCTGTATTCAGTACTTGGAATTTTTGGCACCTGAGACATTGGCAGCTCAGGTGAAGGTAGTTGTTGACTCCTCTACCCTAAGCCCTAAACCCTTAACCTGACCCCTTGTCATTGGCCGGATCTTGTATCCCTAGTCCCCGCAAGCGAAATTGCTGCCACCGTCCTGTCTGACTAAAAACGTCTTTGTTGCTTTGGTAAATCTGCCGTCCAGTTAAAGCGGGCCTATATGAGATACCGGCTAAATTTAGGTTGGGGAGGACTCGGGAGGACCTATAGGGGACTATATAAGGTTGGGGGCACCTATTAAGTTACAAATTTAGTCCAGGGCACATATGAGATTCCATGTTAGTGTTTGGTATCCTACAAAAGCCGCGAACGTATCCAGTACTCAGTGGTGAGACCCAGCTTATAAAGGAGTTTACCTTAAACCCTAAATCCTGAAGACCATCCTTTTCTCAATCCTGCAGAGTTAGCGTAGAAGCTGTGTTTTATCCCCGGAAAGATACCCCTGTTCAGAAGCCCCTGTGTTAGAAACCTTCATGATGCTTTTTGAAGCAATCCTAAAACCCAAAAACCCTTCCATGGAGCCATCCTCAAATTCCAAACTCCCTAGAAAAGAGATCCCCCATACCCTCAACCTTATAACTTATAAACTCAAAGTGACGACTCCCACAGGTCATCAACGTTTCCGCGACTCCTGGGTCCAGTCCTTGGACGTCTTCTCCCTGATGCTGACGATACGGATACTTTAGGGTTATGCTTGAGTTTTAGGGTTTCGGACTTAGGGTTAACGGTGTTGTTTTCGGGGTTTAAGGTTAAGGGTGTATGGTTTACTGTTGAGGGTTTGTAGGGAGGTTAGTAAGAAGTGGTGGAATGGTTTATAGGAACCAGTATAGGGATCAATTCCCTAGTAGACGCACGTGGGCAATTCAGAGTCTAGTAGGATTTTGTGATTAGGCTTATGTAGGAATTGCAGGTTGAGGAGGAAAGTTTGCTGGTGGTCGTGCTTGGGATGTTTGGGATGGAGGCTGTATGCTGCTCTTAGCTCTTCCCTGAAAACTTAATTTTCCCCCAACCCTAAACCCTAAACCTATATCAATGTGGTGCTTGTCGATTTGCAGTTTCAGGCTTGGATCTTCAGGGCTTCAAGTCTGTAAGGTTCAGGTTCTAGTGCTTACCTTTGAATCGGGTATTCAAATTGTAATGTTTAGGGCCTCCCAGGTTAGTGTAGGAGAGTGTGGGGTGTATTGTTATGGAATTGGGCTTCGGCTGGCATGGCAAGGGTTCATTGTTTAGTTTCTGCCCTTAGCCTTTACCATGCTTACCTACCTTCGAGCTAACATCCCAAACTGGCATGGAGCCCACCAAAGGGATA